AGCAGGCTCTCTTTCAATTTTGGGGAGGCATCGGAACTGAGTGAATTTAGGCCATTTATGAATGCCTCCACTGCCACTCATCTGGAACCGCCGGTAGCAACATCCTTTATTTCTGGAACCGCATCACAAATTCTCGCAGCAGCTCAGATTCGCCCTACGCAATTATGAATATGTCTACTTTTCTAACTTGAACCTTCTTTGCTCCGGCATAGGCCTTGATGAACGATTCTGTAAGCATTTCAAAAGAATCAATTGAATGCACGGATAAAAGAGAGCACCATGTCAGAGCCCCCTTCATGAGGGTCTCATCGAACTTCTTCAACACAACCGACTCGATCTCATGTTGAGCCAAATCATTTTCCTTCACCGCAGTGGTGTAGGTTGTGATATGCTCCTGCGGATCTGAAGTCCCATCGTACTTCGGTATGTCCGGCATCTTGAATCTCTTCGAAATTAGTTCTGGTGCTGCACTCGGCTTAAATGGCAACTGTGTGTATTTTTTCGAATCTGAACCCTTCAGTACTGGTGGTGCGCCCGGAATCTGATCCATCCGAGTGTGAAACTCCCTCGCATTCTGATCCATCAGTTCATTCATCTCTCTCATGAATCTCATGAGCTCGGTTTTGAAAGGATCTCTCTCGTTATTATTCCCAGATCCGCTACTGGTTTCTTCGGCTTCATCGAGACCGACTTCGCCCCTTGGGGTATTGTTATCAGTTCTCTGAGCTGTTTGATTTGCAGGAACACTAGGAGGAATTGGGCCCTTTCTGCTCGCGTTGTTGGAAGCACCTATCTATGCTTGTTTCAATTCCGTCATCACCGATCCTGTCTTGAGAGGTGATCCATGATTGTTCTCTGTTGTTCCCTCAGGAGTTTGACCGTTCTATGACATGTTCCTCCTCCGCATCATTAGGAGTTGGTTCCCGCACATGCTGAGGATACTGTCCTTCAGGAATCGGGGTCGTCTCCTCTCCTTCGTTGCGGGTCTCACTGATTGAATCATCGCGCTGGGACAATTCTTCCCGTTCAACGCGTGCTTCAACGTTTTGTATGTTGTTGACATCATTGCCATGTGTGATTTTTACTAAGGAAAGAACTGAAACTTCTTAGAAATAAACGTATTGATCAAAGCAATTACGCAACTGTCTATGCCTCACGGTGAGCGCCAAACTGTTTACCCATAAAGCGGTACAGTTAAATTTTTAACGTAGTTTATAGACAAGCGATTCGATTAGATCCAAAAATAATAAAGAAATAGGACTGAAATTACGATTGAAATTAAAGAAGATAACAAGCTTGATTCCGAATTTAGCCTTTCCGAAAGCAAAAGTGAAATTAAAGATAAAGCAACGATGAAAATGTTAAAGTGAGAGCTATGATTGTAAAATATAAGAGCAAAATGTAACGTATAGCTTTTGCATGTGGAATCGTTCATGCCCTTGCAATAGTGTTAACCCCAATATTTATAATTCTACCTAGGGAAACAAGATCCTAGGATCAAACTCCTCTATAAATGAGAATAAAAGTCTTATTGATGAATATGTAACGACAAGCCTTGAATACAAATATTCTCCGTAACAGCTGCTCATTTAAAGCTAGCAAATATTCCTCATTGAATGTTGTCCGATGGCAAATCTTTGAACTTCTACTGCCGACTACATTCCCTTCGAAATTCATCCGGTACCGGTCACACACACACCGCATTCGGTACTAGTTGTTTCCCGATTCGTCCTGTCTATCTTCGACTCCACGTATCATCTTACCATTCGACCACTTGTTATCAACCAATTTTACCCCATGCGAACATATCGTTTCATTTATGCTTCTTTCTTTTTCTAAGTTTTTGATTTCTTTGTTTTGAAATCCAATTCTTTTCCCAAGCTTTATTCAAATTGAATTACTTTCTTCATGTATTTATTTTCAAATTAAAAAATTGAAAAAGAAAGAAAACACTATGACTGTTATGCTCATGAATATTTTTAAAAACGTTCCAGTACCATAGTAAAATTAAAGACCAATAGAATTTAGTACAATTCAGTATTTGAGTAATACCAATGTTATACTCATTCTATTTGAAAAAGAATCAGAGAGTTATAGACAACACTTAGGAATTTTAATATTCGAATACTCTAATGAAACATCAATTATGAAAACAAAAATAATCATTTTAATCCAAGCAAACTTTGGGCGGGTTGTCTTAACCCAATAATAAATCTGACTCTTTTTCATAGGCTGGAATTGGATTAAACCCGCCCATTAAAATGTATGAATCATAAATCAAAAAGTTAAAACAATATATCTGCAGCATAATAGTTTCTCATACATAATACCTAGTCACCTAGATTCTTCACTTGAGCGTTCATAATACTTTGAGTGAACGCATGGAATTCTAGGGGGGCATATGGATGAAGCAAATTAATAGGTGGATGTCTATCATCTATGGGGTTAATTGGAGTTGGCCAAGAAAGTCCCAGCATGGATGACTCATGCATGGAAGATATTGTTGCTGGCTTTGAGAAGAAATTGTCAGGGGCATGATGAAGGTAGCCACGAATCTCATTTCGATTATTCCCTAGAGTTATTTTGTCTCGAACACATTACTTGGTTTATCAAGTTCTACGTCCTATTTTAAACGACAAAGTTAAAGAACCAAAAACAGAAAAATCTTTAAAAACTTATCCATAGCTACCTTCACTTGGTATAATGATTGAATTGCTTTTGGATGATAGGTAACTTATATTTAATTTTTTCTCAAAAAAAAAAAAAATTGTTTCCTAATAATCACATTATGACATGTCATTTGGATTATAAAATAATGTGGTAATTGCCTTTTCTAAATGCTCCTCTTTTTGGCTGACCTTCAAACTAAACGTGTATATATATATACCCATGAACAACTAATTTCAACTTCTCAATGGCAAAGTTTCTCAAGGTTTAAATTCTTATTAATTTTACTTTTCAACATTTTTCTTTAACAATTATCCCCTTTTTACGCTCTCTAACTATAAGAAACTTTTAATTAGCTTTAATAACTTCTAAAATATTTAAATGTGAATCAAGTGCAAATTTTTAAAAAAATCAAGTGCAAATTTAATTCAAATTACTGAATAGTAGGAGTATTCTTTCTCGAAAGTGCAGACAATACATAAAAAAGGTCCAAGTTAAAATTTGCCGTTCGAAATTGCGCCACATCGTGTCGTTTCTTTACCAAATCCAAACAGTTTCCCCTTCTCAGCTCTCTCTTTTACTCTCGGCTCCTTCTAAATTCTAATGGAGTCTCTTTCCGTAGGCATTTTAGTAAAAATTGCGTGGGGTAGCCATTTTTTAAAGTGGTATTTACTTTTTATCCAGCATTTTTAATGCTGAGCAAAAATAGCCACTAGTCTACTAAAATTAATAAGAAAAGATGGTGTTACCTTTCTTCTAGCCATTATTCTTTAGGCTTATGACTTCTCAGTACACTCTATTTTGCTGTATGGTTCTCATTTATCTTAGGTTTCTACGAGTTTTGAAGTTCTGATGTTTGTTAGTTCATCCTTAATCACAAAAAATCCATCTTATGCTGGAAGTTTGAATAGGCGATCCTTTAAAATGTTTTCTTGTCATTTTTGCTGCTGCTTGGCCTTTGGTCACAAGAAATTTATTTGTTCCTTTATTCCGGTGGATGGTGTTCTTATCATGGGAGTTTCACTTTGTTGTTTCATTTTGGAGTTCTTAACATATGACATAAATTTATCGTTTCTTTATTTTGGTTTTTTGCTACGTTATGGATCCTGAACTTTCAGTTACAAGTTCAAAAGTTAAGGACACTTGGTCCTGAATTTCGAGTTTCAAGTTCAAAAGTTAAGGACACTTGGTCCTTAACTTAGAATTACTAGTTCAAAAGTTAAGGACACTTAGTCCTGAACTTAGACTAACAAGCTCAAAAGTTAAGGACAATAGGTCCTGAACTTATAGTTACAAGTTTTAAAGTAAAGGACAATAGGTCCTGAAGTCCTGAACTTAGACTAACAAGCTCAAAAGTTAAGGACAATAGGTCCTGAACTTAGGCTAAGAAGCCCAGAAGTTAAGGACAATAGGCCCTGAACTTAGACTAACAAGCTCAAAAGTTAAGGACAATAGGTCCTGAACTTATAGTTACAAGTTCAAAAGTTAAGGACACTTGGTCCTGAACTTAGAATTACTAGTTCAAAAGTTAAGGACACTTAGTCCTGAACTTAGACTAACAAGTTCAAAAGTTAAGGACAATAGGTCCTGAACTTATAGTTACAAGTTCAAAAGTTAAGGACAATAGGTCCTGAAGTCCTGAACTTAGACTAACAAGCTCAAAAGTTAAGGACAATAGGTCCTGAACTTAGGCTAAGAAGCCCAAAAGTTAAAGACAATAGGCCCTGAACTTAGACTAACAAGCTCAAAAGTTAAGGACACTTGGTCCTGAACTTACAGTTATAAGTTCAAAAGTTAAGGACACTTGGTCCTGAATTAGACTAACAAGCTCAAAAGTTAAGGACAGGTGGTCCTGAACTTCGAGTTCCAAGTTCAAAAGTTAAGGACATGTAGTCCTGAAGTCCTAAACTTAGAGTTGCAAGTTCAAAAGTTAAGGACATGTAGTCCTGAATTCCTGAACTTAGAGTTGCAAGTTCAAAAGTTAAGAACACTTGGTCCTGAACTTTTATGAGCATAAGGGTGTTTTCGTCCAGGCAGGTAAAGTCTATTAAAGCAGTGGCTAAAAACTAAAGACATTTTAAACAATGGCTTAAAAGTAAATACATGTGTTATTAGTGGCTAACCGTGCACTTCCCCGGCATTTTAACTTATTTACGTCTCCAAAACCACCACAAAACCCACAAATCTTCTCCTAAATCCCCACCCCAACTCTAAGCCCACTTTCCAAAACTTCAATTCTCTCTAACTCAATTCATTGTAATAGATTGAATCAATAGTCTAATTCGAAATCAAAATTCCCACTTAGATATTTACAGTTTAAAAATATGCAAGACTTTCACCAAATAAAAAAAATCTTAATATATACTTACTGAATCCCTTTACAGAAGAGCTCATACGGGTAGGTTATGTCACTTTTATATATGAGGTGAGGAATGGGAGGGAAGATTAAGTATAATATACACAAGCACGTTTACAAGAGAAATTAAAGTTCAAACAAATAGAATATCCAATTCAGGCTACAATACAAATGCAAGTCCGGTAGAAGTATTGGAATCCAGCTAGAAGCTAGTGCTCTGTTGATTTTCAAACATCAAGTCCCTAATCCCTGAGAACCCACCTTACTTTGAGAGTAGCCCAAAAAAGGGATTTGTAATGGCAGAATGCAAAACCATGCCAGCTGATCTCAGTAGCGCCATATCGACCTTGTTTCTGGGCAACACCAAAAAATCACTTCCTTCACCTCTTTCAAACCCACATAGCTCTAGAAACTGCACACCTTCTTTGAAAATTCCAACTCTAGCCTGCCATCCATGAGGAGTGAAGTAACATTAACTTGAATCCGAAAATCACTTGATCCAAACAAATGGAAATTTCATCATTTGAAATTGGCTAAATTACAAAAATAAGCTATCCCTACTTTTTCTGATTTACAATTTCGGCCTTTTCAAACAAAGACAGTGACACTAGAACATATAAGGCAATTTAGAAACAGTACAAGGGTATTTCTGCAAACAGTAGATTACATTCTTCATTGTGAAAGGTATAGTGACTGGAAGAGAAGCAGGCACAAGAAGTTAATATGACACATTATTTTAGACTTCTTCTTAAGTAACACATCAACCTATACCTTAGTAAGAGAAGGGATGATTCCGAGAAACAATTTCACTAGGCGGACATGGATACGATGACATGGATGAAATGAGAAAGATTATACAAAATAAAGCTCAAGACCCTAATCTACATCTACACCATTACATGGCCAACAGTTACAAGATGTCCCCATCATCAACTGGTCCGGAGAAAGGAGGGGGCCGGGTGAGAGATCCTGCTCCCAGCCTCTCTCCTCATCGTGATAATTTTGTCTCGATCCTTATAATACCCAAAAAATGAAGTAAATTTCATTCTTTCGGCGTGTGCTTAAAAAAGTATTCACCTGGAAAGCTGGATTACTGAGCCGGATCTTCCTGAACATTCCTTCATCAGGATTGCTAACAACGTTTCTCACATAAACTAACAGAGCTTTGAAGGCCCGTTGCACTTTCTCGTCCTCCTCCTAACACATGAACATTTAACAATATTGTTATACTGGATAAAATATGGCTCTCGTAGTTGATATCTGATAACACGGTGTAACTTGATATTCAAATATGCATGTACTGTTCCAATTACTTTCCTGGACAAAGTTTTTACTTTGCCGCAGCAAGCAGAAGGGCAAGAAGCTAAAAGCTAATTTGCATGAACTCGTAAGAGACTGGAAATTTTTAATCAGAATTAAATAGTGAAACAGAAGTTTACACAGGAATTCAGATACCTCGTGCTGACGCCTGAGAGATCTTAAGCATTCCATCAAAACCTCTTTCTTTGTAGCGGTGTAACCAGATGATGCGGAAAAGTCAACTTTCAATGGATCCTGAGATTGATTTTAGGGAGAAGAATTACTTGCAGCAAACTGATGAATCCAATCAATCTCATAAACTGTCAACACTATTGCAAAACACAATACCTTAAATTCCTGCTTTGAGGTCTCGATGGATTTTGAAGACGTAGAGCTATTCATAGATGAACCAAGCCTAGCCCTCCTTTCTACCTGCCATGACATGAACTTGCAACTTATCCTAATCCCAACAAGCTATGAAGTTGGGAATATATGATGCATAACTAAAAAACAGAACTAACGTCCATCTATCGTACCAATATGCTATACTCTCAGTTTACACCAGAGTATAGAGTTGGATTACAGTTTATTCAAATTGGAAAAAAAGAAAGAAAGAAACACGCTCAGGGATTTGATCTAGTGGTAAGAGCGTAGCTAGTGTGCAGCATAGGCATGCAACTCACGAGTTCGAGCCCTGCTGCAGACAAAAGCTTGATATTCATGTGGAGGAGGGTAGAGGGGCAGGCCCATTATCCACTGAATTTCAAACCTTGCGCCAACTGGCCCCCCGAGGATTTCTCAGTTTATGAAAAGAAAGAATAAACGAAACTGGTATAAGAGCATGGCAGAACTTCTCAAGGTATAAATGGCTGCATTTGCAGTTGTATAACACCTAAACAACTTACTAAAAGATGCAACACACATCTACACTTGATCATCCGACTGGTACTATTTGGTAAGTACCAACTAAACTTGACTAAAAAGTACTAGTAATACCATGTCCTGCTGCAGTTTTTGACGAATTCTCTCCCTTGCCCTTCTCTCTTCTTCTTTTTCAGCCTTCCTCTGTGCTTCAAAGCTGAAACGTGAGCAAAGTGCATAAACCTAAAATGAGGATTTTCAGCCAAATAAGCACAAGCTACTTTATAAAGTAACACAGTTTCAATGAAGAAACACACCGTTTCCTCTCATTTTCCTCCGCCATTCGCTTTGTCGAAAGCAGTTCTTTGCCTGCACGTATCCTTTCCTACAAATAAACCAAAGTATTTGAATTTGATAATAAAAAATACACCTACATATATAACATCTGATCATTATTAGTTATGTGAAATCATATGCACTAGTTTCAAATATAAACATTTTACAGAACAAACAGAAGCTGGAAATCCAAAAAGAAAAGTCGATGAATAACTTTTTTTAATAACCGTGGTGTCCGCGCTAGCTTGCATGCACCTCGACTAATTTCACGGGATACCTGCTACCTCCCACCAGCAACAAGTACATGTAACTCTGTCCACCAAAGGCTTTTCCGCTGAAATTTGAACCTGAGACCTCATGGTTCTCAACCCACTTCATTGGCCACTAGGCCACACCCTTGGGTGCTAAAAGTAGAACAATAACTAACTCTGCATTTCTCAGCAACGTACTCCAGGTTAACGATTTGAGATTATATGGAGGGATCTACTAATATTAGTTTCGATCCTTCGTTCTAAAGTATAGGGATCTTGGATCAATGTATTACAAATGATCTTTATCTAGGTATTGGTGAATTGGTGGAAATCTTTTTAAAAATTGCTTCAAGGCTAAGAAATTATGGATTTAACATCTTTGCATTATCTGTTAGTCAATCATGTCTACTTTTTTTTTTTTTATACACTAGTCTATCATTGGAATTTGAGGTTAAAGTTGGAAGATGATGCCATCTCTCAAACAGTGACATCGACTAGAATCCTTGCATAGGCTTGCACATGTACTGTTCACATACAGAAATATATTCAGAGTTTCAGACCATGCACCGAAAGTTCATCATTCTATCCACACCATTAGATCTCCCAAATTTAACATATTGACAATTAACAGTCCACATTCCAAAAAGAATCAGAACTTACACTGGAGAAACTAAGAGAATAGGAAAATACTCCATACCTTCTCCCTTTCCCTTTCCAGCTTTTTCTCTTCCTCTTCTCTCCTCTTGCGTGCTCGCTCCCTAAATAAGCAGAATTTTCATTCACCAATATCAGAAAGGAAAAAAGTAATAAAAGGAGACTGAAAATAAACCATAAGTCACTAACAGCAAAGCAGTTTCAAAAGGTAAAATAAGATGCAAGGAAATTGAACGCCTAATGACAATTTCCAGTTTTTGGATTAAACACGGAACTTCCTCATGAAACTTTAATGGAAAATCGAACCTTAGCTCTTGTGCTTTCAACTTTACTTGTTCCGAATCAAAACCAGCACTAGGAGTTTCAGTAATGTCCACATGAACCTGCATGCCATTCTCTCATCAGTATTTTAGAACTGAGCTGTGCAATACGACAGTTATAAAAGATAAAACCGAAAAATTAAACATCAAAGATCACTTGGCCTGAAAGAGCAACTCCTGTCTCGAAGAGACATTAATAGAATCTGTAAATAATGGAAAGCCTACAAACAAAGAATTTAAAAATGCAAAATCAGATAACTCACATTAATTCAGCGACCATTGCATAAACACACATATGCATCCATAGGTCTACTTAGGACATGACCAATCTATATCAAGCGACCTACTCTTGTTTTGTTCTCTACCTGTGATACTTGGACCTTCTATCAAATGTAGTCATTTATGATCTTATCTAATCTTGTATAATCGCACATCCTTCTTAACATCTGCATTCCTACGACACTAATTTTGTGGATATGTTGGACCTAGCGACCAACATTCTCTCCCATATAACATGGTTGGTCACACAGCCTTTATAGAACTTGCCTTACACTTTGGTACATATGCTCCTACCTCATAATACTTCAGTAGCACTTCCTTTTCAACCACTCCCACTTTAACTGTGTTACACATTCATCTATCACACCGTTCTCATGAAATATCGAGCATAGATATCTGACATGTCTATAATCGGTCTTACTTCTACTTAGGGCTGGGCATATATCGGGTAAAACCGATAACCCAAACCGTTAATTGTTTATTGGGTTATCGGTATCGGGTTATTGGGTTAACGATTCGGTCACTCTAGGTAGCTGTGTTCCCTTCAATGTCCCTGCTCCTTCCTCCTTCCATATGTTTTCCTGAATTGGTAATTGGTTTATGCCCTTTAGTGCCTACCACTGAATTGTCAATTGCTTGCAACTCGTCTGATCTTCTAACTCTTCCGCTTCACATCCAGAAACACTCATTTATGTTAGTTAGGCGGTGCTTTCGCTAGTATAACCTTGCAATCCTTACATGCAACTTTATCTTGTCTTTTGGAAAGGATAATAACTATTTGACTAAAGTTACCTCCACTTACAAAGGTGTGATTTCCTCTTCTTAAAATATGTGTCAGATGAAATAAATAATAAGACAAACTCTAGAATAGCCTTTTCTTCTTCATTCCCAGTACCATAACCATACTCCCATGTACTTGGTTGAAACAATTGGAACAAGAAAGAGAAATTATCAAAGAAGAGAACATCAATGAGCACAGCTTGCTAGAAACTTGTCAATTATTGGGTTCTTAATTTTTAAACAGTGACTACATTTTAGGTACCCACTAAGTCAAAGGCTTGCATGACATGCAAAACAGATACTGTTAAGAAAAGTTGAAAGAAACTTTTAGACATAGAAAACTTTAACTTGACACACTGTATATTTTACAGTTTACACAACTCATAAATTTGGCCAATCATGTTTTTTAGCAGGAAATTAACATTTTGCAAAGTTGAAGCATATTTAGAAATAAATCACATAAAATTCACGAACTTTTTATTTTCATAATCATTTCGTATAACATTGTCTTGAGATGAATCTAAATCGAGAAACATGGTTTGTGAAGATTCATATAGACGAACCTAACTTGTTTGGGATTGTGACGTAGTAGTCGTTGCATTAAACACAATTTGTTTTTGTTTTTCCAGAATTTTAGGAACTAATTCAACTTAGAAATCAAATTTTGTTTGAAAAACTATAATCTAGCATCTATTCTTGTTCTCATACCTATTAGCCATATTAGTTTTGAGAAATGATAATACACTAATGCGTATAATGGCCTTCTTAGCTTTTTTACTATACAACCTAGAAAGCTCCAGCTAATTCATTTTCCCGTAAGCACTAACCATTAGAAGTAAATTCACCATCTATCTTTGGTAGCAAGAGAAGTAGAAAAATGATCTAGAGTCTGCTAGCAAAAAAAATAAAAAATTTGCTCTAGAGTACTTTACTACACCTCTCTAAAATAGCTCATCCATACTTACAGTAATGACTTGCTCTTCTTTGAAGATGCACATATTTGCATACTGTTGCAAATGCGTCCTGATTGGATGTCCGAAGCTTACACCCCTTTAAAGTTGACACTATTAGCTTAAAAATGTACTAACACTCAAATTTCCGGAGAATTAAACGACTCTCTCTCTCTCTCTCTCTCTCTCTCTCTCTCTCTCTCTCTCCTCTATATATTATATATATATATATAATATATATATATATTATATATATATATATATAAACCATGAACACTGATGTACAAGGTAAAGAAAGGCTATCATCAGTGTTAAGCTAGATACCATGGGCATCTCATCAATGTCTGCATCATTCTCATGATCAATAATCCAATTTACTGCAGCCTCAAGGCTTGAATTACCTGAAAGAAGTATTGATTTTCAATCATAAAAGTGGACAGCTCAGTTAACCGCATACGGTAGCATCTAAAAGACAAAACAGTAGGTTAATGCTAGTAAATAGATAAACTCTCTTTTTCTTTTTGGGGTGGGGGGTGTTAACGGCAAGAGCACCTCCTCAGGATTTGATGCCAACCTAGAGAAAGCATTACAGGAAGACTGCAGAAATGAGTAGAACAACCGGCAGTTCTACAATATCCAAATATTTGGCAGGATAAACGGACTTGCATAAAACAGAGAGTTGAAAGTCAACATCACTTTGTAGATGCAATACCTCTGCAGGATAAATCTCAACGTCAACTGAATCTATATGGCCTAGAAACCAATTCTACTCAGGTCTTCAAGGAAAATCCTAACAGGTTGTTAGATGCAGGCTTGGCGACATATGAGCACATGATTAAACTAATTAGTTAATGCACATGCATGAAGTGATTTTCTGGGCTACATCCGCAATAAAAAATTTTGAGAGCTTTCCCATACAAAATGGCATGTTTTAGCTAGATAATACAGATTGAATTAACAACCGATATAGCCTAACAGTTATATACTACTTCAGAAGCAAAAGTTATGTTAAAATTGTCTCCTATGCTATTCAAGTGAATACACGAGCAAATCTTTTCCTTGAATATATCTAATACCAGAAGGATGACCATACCGGAAGAATGAAGAGCCTTGGTGGCTCGAGCCTCTGAAAATCCCATTGCTACAAGTTCACTTACCAAGCTTCTGTTAATGTCAGAAGCAGCCATTTCTGATCGTTGATATAAATTCTCTCGAAATCAGAAATATTGAAGCGCTTCTGCGAAGTAACAAATGTTTCGTCAATAAAGATGTTTAAGATATGGAGAAAAACTCAACTTAAGACTACACTCCTTGCGCGTATATGCTTTTCTCTATTTTCGCGCTCAGAAAATCATGAAAATCAAGTTTTATACTTCAGAATTTATTCAAAGATGCCTAATAGCTTAAAATTACAACTCTTCAGTCACTATCACTACTGCATCAATCTTATAGTTGGAGTATAGTGTGACAACTATCACAAAAATTGTCTGCATAATTCCTAAAGTAATAACAACAACAACAACAACAAGAAACAATAGCATGGATTCATTTAATATGGGACAGGGAAAAAAAGAAAAAAAGAAATTATCCAAATTATATTGGCATCAAACAAGTGTGGCAATATAAATGGAAGAGGGCCAAAAACAATTAATCAAGATAACCATTAGTAGTTACTGATAACATCCATATAATGAGTGTAGATAATCAAGATTATAAAATGATGACAATCAATCAATCAATTTACTACTAGTCAAACCTAAACAAGTTGATGCCGGCTATATGAATCATTTATATCCATTCTACTATAGGTGGGCTTATTTCTTTCCAATGCGAAACAATTTGTATAAAATGATGTCAAGCCGCTGAAATGGGGTAAAATGAAAGAATTCAAATTCAATGTACAGTAATCAGTAAACTATGAGAAGGAAGCAAAAGGACATGAAGCTATAACTGGTTGACAGGATCAAACTGCCTGAAGAAACTAAAAAAAAAATAGTTTTAAAATAAAAAGAATAACAATAAACGAACTCCAATTTTGTGAAAGAGGGAAACAATAAAAGGCCGTAGAAACTTGAAACCCTGTTATAGTAAGTAATATAATTAACACAAATGGAATGGCTTATGAAGGCAAAAAAAATCACAAAAAGGAAGCATACCCTTTTTGTGGCAAAGAGAAATTCAACTGTTTGTGTGGATTTGATGTGCAGATTAAATGCGGAGTAAATTCATTCGGGAACAAAGTGGAGAAGAAGAACGCCATTTGCAAGTTAACGGGGGATGCCGATTCGATTCTTTGCCTCAAGCCTTAAGGTAAAGGTAACAAGTTTCCCGGGAAGATGGATTCTCAGCTGGGCAATGTCAACGGGGAATGGCGATTATGCTTTTCGAACAAGTACAACCACATACACACAATTGCAACAAAGGTGATTTTCCATTGCTGCTTCTGTGAAGAAGAGACATTAAAGGGATGATATGTTTTGTTAGCATTTATATACACTGGTAAATCTGTCATTAAAAAACTCTCATTAAATTTACAAATAAATTTTTTTAATTATTCAATATTAAGAATTAATAAGAAGTAAGCTCTTGTAAAATCCTTAATATAATAATAGTTAATCACACTAAGCGCCTATTTGGCCAAGTTCTCAGAGATCAAAAGTGCCTTTTTTGCCCCCGAAAAGTACTTATTTGGAAACTTAAAGGGTTTGGCCAAAATAAAAAAGTACTTTTGAACAAAGCAGAAGAAGTTTTTGGGAAAAATCTATAAATTCTAGCTTCTTCCAAGAAGCAGAAGCAGAAAATTAATTTTTTCAAGATAAAAATATCCTTAATATAGCTTTATATTTTTCAAAAATATCCCTCATTAATTTAGTCTTTACTCTTTTTAGGGGTGGGCTTTCGGGCAGCTCGGATTGGATATGAGAATTTTAGTTTGGATTTTCGATTTTCGGATCGAAGAAATGACAATCCAAATAAGATCGGATTGGATCGAATTTTTATAAAAATGAATATCCAAATGAAGTACTCATGTTAAATTGCCTAAAAAGTTCCTCATTCTTCTCGCACTCATCCAAATAAAGTATTCAAGTAATAAAATTATTATTAAAAAAATACAATAGTGACATTAATACGGTCGATAAGAAGTAGCAATAGTAAAATCATGTCCAAATAATAAGTATTCTAACAGTAACTTAGTAATTAATATTAAATATATGAGATAATATCTAATAGGTTGTGTATTGAACTTATTACAGTTGGCATATAGATAATGGAATAAATGTAAAGTGTAACACTTTTAGATTTTTCGATATCCAAATATCCGAAGTACCAAATCCAATATCCAATCTGAAATCCAAAAATTTTAAAAAATAAATCCAAAATCCAAACTAAAAACCCAAAAAAAATCGGATTTCGATTTGGATTTCTGATTTGCTCAAACTATGCCCACCCCTACTTTTTTTCTTTGCCATCCTTTTCTTCGTCTTTTTATTTTTAGCGTATTTTTCATACTTTTTATCGTATTTCTCTTTGGAATAATCTCTCTACTATAAATAAATCTCTTCTTTTTTAACATTTCTTCTTTTTCTCGTCTCCTACTACTCTTTGAAATAACAAGGCTAACCACCAAATTCAAGCACTTTCTTCAAAAGATATTTTTTTTATTTTGTAGTATGCCGATAATGTATGATCTCCGATTTGTAGTATAATTTGTAAAAAAGATTTTGCATGCATGTATATAATATAGTTAATATAATGAAATACTACCTAGTTTGTTGTTTTCTCAAGAATAGATAGTGATTTTTTTACATGTAACTTGTAAGCACATATCTTCCTATCAATATTATTGCTTTTAAATATTTATATTTATACTAATAAAAATAAATATGGTTCTTTATAATAAATATTTAAAGTTTTCTTTTTTAGATTACGCTAATTGTAAACTAAATCTTTGTTGTCCTTTTTTATAATTTGACACTCAGAAGTATTTTTTAGAAAAATTGACCAAACACAATTTATTTATCAAATATCTCAAAAAGTGCCGCTCAAACGAATTGGCCAAACACAAATTGCTAATATCCAAAAGTATTTTTTCGAAAAGGACTTTTTAAAATAAGTAGTTTGAAAAGTAGTTTTCGACATCTTGGTCAAACGGGCTCTAAACACCTTTATAATATGACTCGATTTTGGATGCATCTCATGTATTTTAAAATCAAACACTTACACCTTTTATTCTATGAAAATTCTACACTTACACCATATATATATATATATATATATATATATATATATATATATATATGACTTAGTATATTATACTATAATTATTAAAAGATTAATTAATATTAGAAATAATTTTTTACATGTTTATTTTTATGAAATTTAAAAAGAATAGAGCTGAATCTGGGACCAAATCAACATTTGAGCCAGCAAACAAGGAGAAATTGGAGACTGAAAACATAAATGATACAGGGAACAAAGTTGAATCTAGGACTCAAGCAGCTGATAAGGGAAAACTACCAGTGGACCCATGGGTGAACTTGTTCTTGAAGAACAGAGCTGCTGAAAACGGCATGACCCTCTCCTATATTCCTCCACAGATTATTGACAGGCAAATTGTGATTCAATTGGAGAAAGAAGAGGTCGAACATGAAACTGAGAAATGGAAAAGAGCCTTAATTGCATATGTTATTGGGGATTGTCCGGGCTATAACGCTATGAGACGATACATAGCACAAAATTGGAACAATATAGCAGAACCTGATATATACATGCATGAAGAAGGATACTACATTATTAAATTAAAATATGTAGCTGATATATATGAGATCCTCTACTCTAGATCATATACCATAAATAACAAGCCTATTATCCTTAAGCCTTGGACAACTGATTTTGATTTCAATGAAGAATTTCCAACTGAAATCCCTTTGTGGGTTAAGTTTCTGAAGCTTCCAATGAATTTCTGGGGAAATAACTCCTTGAGCAGAATTGCTAGTTCAGTTGGTACTCCAATCTTTGCTGATGAGTGTACAGCAAAACAAACAAGAGTATCCTTTGCGAGAATGCTAATTGAAGCCAATATCACAAAAAAGCTGCCTGATGAAATCACGGTAATGGATCCAAATGGAAGGACCTTCCTTCAAGCTGTGACCTATGATAGGAAGCCAAGGTTTTGCGAGAAATGTCAAACCATTGGGCATATATGCCATTCGGAAGAGAAAACAACAACCCAGCAAGGTGAGAAATTAAAGAAGAAAGATGGGCCAAAGAAAATAACTCAACAGTGGGTATACAATGGGCCAATAACCGCAGCTGAACAGATAAGAATAAATGAACAGGGAAAGGCAAACCAAAGTACGAGTGTCACGACCCCGATTCGCCCTCCGTGAGCCATCGTGACGGCACCTAGTCCTTAAGACTAGGTAAGCCTAATAATGCGGAAAAATAAACCAAATTGAGGAAGGAAATAGATAAAACCCGAAATAGTAAATAAAACAATGTTTAATAGTGCTGCTCGGGATACATAATCTCAATTCTCGAAAACAAATACTTTTCCCAAAACCCGGAATCTCATGATCACAAGCTAAGGATACTACATAGTGCTCTAACTCCAGAATGTCTAAATAAAGTAAATACAGAAGGGCTGTAACTACAAGAGAGTAGGGAGAGGGACTATTCGGTCTGCGGACGCGGTAGATATACCTCGAAGTCTTCGAAAGATTGCCTCGCCTCAAGGATAGTAAGTCTGAGTAGAGGTACCTGGATCTGCACATGAAAAACATGCGCAGGAAGGGCATGAGTACACCACAGCGGTACTCAGTAAGTGCCAAGCCTAACCTCGTTCGGGTAGTGACGAGGAAGGTCAGGGCCCTACTGAGATTAAATAAACTATAAAGTTCGACAGTGTAGAACAGAGCAGTATAAATGAGTACGACAGTAAGAGTAACATAGGATATAAAGGATAACGACAACTGGAACAAAAAAACAAGTAATCACGGTAAACAAATACAGCTCAACGCAGAGGTAACAGCCGAGGGATCTCCCAGGATACCGTCCTGTAGTCCCCAAATATAATATCCAGTGGATCTTCCGGGTGCAGTCCAGTAGTCCAACTCATAAGTGCGCGGGGATCTATCGGAATACCACATCTGTAGTCCCAAATATAAATACTCAATACTAGGGGAAATCTACCGGGTGCAATCCCATAGTTCCAATGTAAAAGTGCAGGGGGATCTCCCGGAATACAAATCCGTAGTCCCAAAGTAATCATACAGGGGGATCTCCCGGGATACCGTCCCGTAGTCCCAAAGTAAATACACAGCAGCAACAAGAAGAATATTCAATTCAATCAAATTTCACACCAAGATAAAGTAGGTATTTCTAACCTAGCATGCTGCACATAATTCAAATAGGGCAGTAGAACAAATAAACAGTTAAATAAAATAGGCATGCTTCCCTAAGCTAACAACAGGCTTAACTTGCAAGTAGTGTAAACAGGAAAGGAAAACACAATTCTAAGTACTCAATGGAAACCAGATTTTTCAATAATTAGCACAAGTACGCACTCGTCACCTTACGTACAAGGCATTTCAATTAACCAAATATACCAAATCCTAAGGGGAAGGTCCCCCACACAAGGTTAGGCAAGCCACTTACCTCGAACCAGCTCAAAAGTAACCCGAAACCAAGTTCTTGCCACGAGTATTCGACTCCAAATGGCCCAAATCTATTCAATTCAATTGCATAATGTAAATAATACTTCAAGTAACTGATTCTACAAATAAATTCTAAGCTAATACACAAAATTAGGTGAAATGACCAAAACGCCCCTCGGGCCCACGTCTCGGAATCGGGTAAAATTTATATTTTTAGAATCCTCATACTCTCACGAGTTCATGCATACCAAAATTATCTAAATCCAATGTCAAATTCCCAATCGAAAGTCGAATTCTAGGTCTAAGAACTTCCTTCCAACCTTTCCCCAATTTTCATCTCCAATCCGAAATTAAATGATGAAACTAACTATAGATTGATGGAATATAACTAGAAGGGGTTAAAGAATCGTTACCCAATGATTTCCTCTTCAATTTCCTCCCAAAATCGCCCTCTCCCGAGCTCCAATTTGATTTAACCAAGTTTTGAACCAAACCCTCGAAATCTCATATTTCTGCCAAGCGATTACCGCATCTGCGGTCCCGCTTTTGCGAACCAATGGTCACATCTGCAACAATCACTAACTCAGCCTGATTCCGCACCTGCGACTCCCCATTCGCAAATGCGGTACCGCTCCTGCGAAAATTCTACCGCTTCTGCGGCTCCTGTTGTTCCTCTCCATTTCCGCTTCTGCGATGGAGATGCCTCTTCTGCGGCTCCGCACCTGCGGGACCCAACCGTAGGTGCGGTTATGACAGAAAGCCAGCAGCTGAAGCTGCAACTCTAAACTCCAAAATCCTTCCGTCAACCATCCGAAATCATCCCGAGGCCCCCGGGACCTCAAC